CTTTAGGCATCTATAGAGCTCTATAGGCTTATAGGCATCCCTATAGGTCACCTATAGAAAATGTTCCAATTGCCTATAAAAACCTATAGGTTTCCTATAGGAACCTATAGGTTGGCCTATAGGCCAGGCCTATAGACTTTTTTTTGTAAGGGCGCAAGCTCACCCGGTGTGGATATATACTCAGAGTAACATCACAAATATTTAAGAGATTGTTAGGAGACTATTACTCGAAAGCCCTGCATTGACTTTGCAGTGGCGAAGCAAGTTGATGGGCGGGTTGGCACACATGACTGACACAACTCGGCACCCCCCCCCCCTACCAGATCATGCTGGATCTGTCCCTGGTAATATTAACAGACATACCACTGATGAATATATCTGTCAGCTGTCAACATTTGTAATAATCTACTATCTTATCAGAAGCAAGTTTTTATTGGAATCATACATCATGAACAAAACTGTTCACTCCATTATGCCAGACATAGATCTATAAACTCGATCTTAACCCACTGAGCTGCAATGCGTTCTGGTGCATTCTTATTTTTTTTACTTGTCTAACGCCAGACAATTTTACTCGTAAATGGGGAAGCTCTGCAGCTCAATGGTTTACCAAAAAATCTGACAATGTCTTTAGGTTAACCCATTGAACCACAATGTGCCCTACTTAGACTAAGAAATATATACTTCTGAATAGCAATAAATTATTCTATAGTTTTGTGTTCAAGTTCACACATTCGCATCCATCAGGAAAATCAGCCAGGAGAATCAGCCAAATGAACCGAGCTTGAGAACATGTACAGTTTGTCATCTAATTTGTAATGTGAGATGTTATTGTTGTGTTTAATTAAGTATACATTTATACAATTTAATCTTGAAAAGCTTCAAAAACATTTCATGTATGTCTTTGCAATGGTTTTATACATCATAAAGCTTAGTCATTAGCTTTGATGGCCTAACTTTTGCCGAGATGTTCGATATATAGTTGTCATGGAAATGTTGCAGCTGAAGTTATGAATGCTCAAAAGAGTTAAGGGTTATATGTCCACGACTCTCACTTTTTGAATTCTGAAAATATGCACAGATTGTGCATTTGACCTCTTAAATTATGCTTCAGCAGCCAAATAGAACCATTAAGAAAGAGACATAAGCATGTCTACACTATTGTGCTTTTCAGGCTTAAAGGTAGAGGTTCTGCAGTTGTCAGTTTTCACAAATGCAAAAAAGTGTGCACAACCGCACAATTTCTTGGATATGTGGAACAACTAGATTTACTATAGAAAAGACATTTTCATCACAAACATTTTGTCACCATGTGTCTACATTGACAAAAAATGTTTGTAGAAGTTGTTTCATCTGTGATGTTTCAAACTGAAAAAAAGGAAATATATCAGTGATATACTGGTATAACGTACATGCAAGAACAGTAATGAGTATCACTAACATTAAACTAAAATGGATATTAAATAATTTGAAAAAACTTAAAACAAAGTGTATTGATCAACTTAAGTCTAATATATCAACTAATCAACCAGCCAATTACATATTTCCAACAATACATATGATTCTTTTTTATTTTATTTTTTTTTTACAAACTTAGTCATAAATGACAGGTTAACCCTACAGAGCTTAATGCTCCATTTACGGGGTCCCTAATAATATGTATATATGTATATATAAAAAAAAAACAAAAAAAAAACAACATTACATTATTTACAACACATTTTATCCACAAGACTGGACAACGGACGACACGAGTGACACTTGACACATATACTTTTAAATGTTTGTGGAGCATTAAACTAAATGTTATATATTTCTTTAGTCATTGCTTCATAATAAGTTAACAGGTAAGATTTGAATTGGCTGACAGTAACGCTTGCTTCTCGAATATGTGGTGGTAGGGAGTTATATATTCTGGGAGCTCTATTATAAAAACTGTTCTGAAAAGTTAAAGTGTTAACTCTGGAAAGTTTTAATGTTACACTGTTAGTTGTAGCGCGCCTGGTGATACGATCGTTTGATACTATACTAATCTGAGAGTCATTCAATTTAATTGCCTTAAAGATATACACCAAGTCCAGGTACTCGTGCCAGTAAGACAGAGGAAGTAAACCAGTTTTCAATAGTCTCTCCTGGTAACTAGTTTCAGATCTAAACGGCAGCGATAGGATGAATCTCGTTGCACGTCTTTGAATCTTCTCGACTTCAAGGATTAAAGACACAGACTGTGGGGACCAGACTTGGGAGCTGTACGTGAAACGACTTCGTACTAACGTTTTATAAAGTGCGGTACGTGTACGAGGATCGTGCATCTTAATGGAGGACCTTTTTACGAACCCAAGCATTCTGTTTGCTTTCGCACATACAGCAGAGACTTGTTGGTTCCATTTGAGATCTGCAGTGATGAGAATGCCAAGATCTTTTTGAACAAGCCTTTTACAGATGACCGTTGACTTGGCTGAGTTATCGTTGTTGAGATGGTAAGATGACTGCACAGGTTTGAGATTCCTTGTTACCTTAAGAACTCCAC